TCCATGATGAGCAGCTGAAAGAAAAGGACCCTCAGAATCATATTGTTTCCTTTTTCGATCTCATTGTTCCTTACTAAGATATTTCATCTCCTCAACAATCTTAGCTCGATCCACGAGCTTAACAAAATCCCACTCATGGTGAGCATCTATCCTGGTACGAATCCCAATACACAAACCTCTATAAAATAATAAACATTTATTTTTCTCAGTAGAGATCAATCTAGTAGCATACTTACTGAGAATCAAGAACTCTAGCTCATAATCCTAAATTATCATATTACCCGTTTTCAGATCCATAAATTCATGTTTTTGTTCTTTCAGATAATGGCTACCCACAAACCAACTCCGAAAAGCACTCCAAAAAAGCTCATAAGTCAATTGATCTCTCACTGTGGTCATCTTCACTAAATTCCACCAACTCATGTCATCATCTTTCAACAATAAAACAATAGTCTGAAGTCTCTGATCCACAGGATAATTCATCTGATCAAGAATACACTCAGTATCCTCAATCCAATATTCCCAAATAGACAGGGACTCTCGGTAATCCCTCTAAAGTATTTCACCCCGTTACATAACATAGTCGACTAAATAGTAACAACATTATCATCCAGTTGAACCCTAGTTAATCTCTAAAGTAAACGCAACACTTTCCAACCAACAACAACTCATCTCTCAGTAACAAGGGTATTCTCAGTCGGAATAGAAGATTATGTATCCCGAGTATATTGATCACCCTCAGATGTCTCAACCTCAGGAATTAGACGATCTTTATTAATATCAGATGTACAACCTCCACGGCTTCGAGTTCTACCATTACCATGATATGGTACAGAATGACGTGAACCTCTACATGGTGGCATACTATCTACTGAGTCTTTGATCAAATATAAACAGAAGCTAAAATCAAATCTAGTACTGGAGTCTTAGATCAAAATAATTTATATTCGAAAACAGATAAAATCTTAAAATCATTTAACAAAAATTTCTCTCATAATAGATTTTAGAAAATATTTCCCTTACCCAAAAAACTTTTTCAAAGCATGTAAAAATTAGTTTACAGAACAATATAAAATTTACAGTAACATCATCTGATAATTAAATTGACTCTGATACCATTAAATGTAACCCCCTAGATCTGGCTGGATGTTACGACCGAATTTTGAAGATCACACCAACTCAGATTGTCATAAATCATGAAATTTTTAAATAAAAATATGCACTATCAGAAAATTAATATAAATCCATAACAAAAATAGAGTTTATAAAACAAAGTATAATCCGATATTAAAGTTAAAAAAAAGATATAATATTCCAAAATCCCAAATATAATAATAGTATAAAATGATAATGAAGGTAGAAATATTGTCTAAAATCGTTCAGATGGTATATAGAGAATAACACTACTAGTCGATCCTCCAAGTACCAGTCGTAAATCTTAAAAATCTGAGAGATCTGAAAAGACAAACTAAAAAGTGAGCTATAGAGCTCAGTGTGTCCTTTAAGTGTTACATATATTATCAATAAACTATAAACAAGTCGATTATGTCATAAAATGCAAATTATAACACAAACATTAGTAACCAATTGATTATTAATAGTATATTGACAAAACAAAAAATCTATACAACTTTACCTTTTCACCGTGGATGAAACATAATAAGGATGTTACCTTTCAAAAGGTGCCCAAACTAGAATACAGAAGATCAGGATGAGGATATAGCCCTCCATAGAGGATCCTAGTCAGAATTAGAATGGGGATATAACCCTTCGAAGAGGACCCCAAAATAGTGTCAGAAATCAAAATAGGGATATAGTCCTCCGAAGAGGATCCCAAAACAAGAACAGGACGGGGATTTAATCATAGGGATATAGTCCCATACAGAATCATGTATCCATTAGTATACAGTTAAGAAATGTTACATCCGTAATAAAAAAATTAGACATATCACAGACCATTATAATCAGATTACAATCATGCTTACAAATAACATCATATAATACAATATCATAAATTCATTAAAGATATCATTTGGGTAAAAATAACACACCTATAGCAGCTAAACACTACCAACTAAGTCTTACGTTTCCCACGATCGGTAGTACTAGGTCCTGTGAAATGGTATCGCAAATCTTGAGACGAATGTCCAGAACTGAACTGAGCTGAGTAAGGACGATCGATATTTATCGGAGAGTGATGCTGAGACTCATGCTCATCGAGGTCGGTTAGCATAAAAGAATGGTGGAAAAGGGGTTTTTAACAAAACCCAAAACTTTTCTCTCTCCAAAAACGCTAACACCGATGACAATGAACACACCTAAACCACCGAACGAAAGATGACGACGAGAGAAGCACAATGACGCCAGCGATGTGAGACACGGTGGCCTAAGTGTTGATGGAATCAAGGAAAACTAGAAATATGGCTATGGTGATGAGAGAGAGAGAAATAAGAGAGAGAAAAGAATGAGAAAAAGAAGAAGAAAAAAATGGCTCGGAGAAGGAAAAATAAAATGGAGTTTGAATTCAAACTACCCTAAAAATTGGATAAACTACTCCACAAGTCCTGATATATTTTAAAGGTTTCTCAATATGGTACCAAAGGTGTAAACATTCTAATTTAGTCTCCAAATTTGGAATGTGTCAAAATAAAATCTTGAAATCAAATTTAAGTATGTTGAAAACATTTTGATGTTTCGATATAACAAATTAAGATAAATGAATTTCAAGATTTTATAAAAGATTTTCTAAGTATATTCGATATAATTATTCGAATATCAAAATATTACTCCAACTCTTTCAAAGTTCAATTTCAATCTTTACTAAAGTATAAAGTTGTGTTTTATACTTGAAATATTTTTGAAACAATTTTCACAATGTATTTCGAACCAAAAACGAGCCAAAATCAAATTTGTGAAGGGATGCACCGATGCACTCTTTGATGCACCGATGCACTCTTTGATGCATCGATGCACACACCATTTCGAATGCATTTTATGCATCGATGCACAGACCATGCATAGATGCACTCAGGCTTGTTTGAAACATCGAATGCATTTTATACATCGATGCACCCTTAGTGCATCGATGCACTAAGTGTTCCAACGGTCGAAATATTTGAATTTTACACTTGATGCATCGATGGACCTTGACTATGCATCGATCCACACACGCTCCCAACTGATTTTATTAATTGTTTTCACACTTAAACGACTCTATTGACTCCACTAATCATCCCCAACGTTCATAATCAATTAAAGGAGTATTTAAACAAGCTTAGAAGCCATTGATCAACAAGAAGAAACAACAAGAAACAAGAATCAAGAGAGAATCAAAGAGAAATCATCAAACCTCAAGTTTGAGCAATTTCAAGCCAAATTTCATTCAATATTCATCATTGCTTTCAAGAACACTTATTGTGCTCAATTGTATCATTCTTGAGTGTTCTTTCTTTGTTCTAGAATTGTGCAAACATGTTTCCTTGTGAGGATTTTCTTGTAAGTTTGCAAAATTTGTATTGTTCTCTTTGGGAGAGAGTGTTCTCAAGAATTTGGGGTATAATTCTTGAGGGATTTGTAAGGTTACTCTTTGTCCTTAAAAGAAAGATAAATTAGTGAATTTGTGGAAAATCCTTAGTGTGGATAGCTAAGGTAGTGGGCGTAGACTTTGGTTGAGAAAGTCGAACCACTCTAAATCGCTGTGCAAATATTTTCAATTTTCTGCAAAAGCATCCACCGAATTTTTAATTGTCATTTCACCCCCTCTTGGCTATATTCGTCGATCGATTAACTCAACAAAGTACAAAATAAATATTCTTTTTTTATTTTAGATTAATTTTGATGTTATTGTGGGAACTTTAAATCCTGAATTGTGAGGTACGAATTACAAACATACAACTTCAATCACTTGTGTTTTTTCCTCTTCTTTTTATACTAGTCTTGTACCCTCATCAAGTGACTTTGGAAATATTGTTCTAAAACTAAAAAACTTTGGTGACAGAACATTAACCATGGTAATCACGACTTTGGATTTATGAATAAATTTACGAGAAAAGAGTATATTTATTCTCATATCTCATACACCTATCTGGTAATGTCACGTGTCACTAAGGACGCTTATATAAAAAATTCTTTTTTTTTCACTACAGAGATTATTCAAATTTGGAGTAATCTATCTCTCCCTTTCCAACAAGTGATCGAATTCCTTTCACGACCAATTTTAATGATTTTTCATCAAGATCAAAAGAAATTAATCGCCACAATTATCTATAATCATCGTCTCTTCCATTATTTACTAACACCTGTAATTCTAAGCGTTAAAATATATGTTTTAAAACAAAGAGAAAAATCAATTTTATAGTAACATATCCTATCGAAAAAGCACGTTTTAGTACCAAATATGTGAGAGAGTTCATTGTAGTATATTTTTCTTTTCTTTTTGGCATATCGTCTTTTTCGTACCATATATATAAAGGTTGGTATTTCCCTGTCTTAAATGATATATGACGATGGTCCAACAATTTGTGCCCCTATGAAAGCGATGCTATACATTAAATTAGAGGAACCCCAACGTGCTTGCTTGGGGACCATTCAATTCAACTATCCTTGGTGGTTGGGAAATTAAACCCATTTGTTGTATTTCATTCATGTCGGTGCGTTAAGTTTATTTCACAGACATATTTATTAAAGTATTTCTTCATTTGTTGTTTGGCAATTTTGCTTGAAGAATAATATTTTTTCATAGTATTATTAAAGTATTCAATCTTAGAGAAATTATTTAATAAGTAAATTGTAAAATCTAAATTCGATCAACATATTTATTTAAATATCATCTGACATTTTTGAATGATCTTAAATCTTAAGTTTTAAGTTTTAAATCTTACGTCTTAAAATCTTAATTAATATAGACGACGTTAATAAAATGCTACTTAAAAAATATTTTATACATAAGATAATAATCTAAAATTTAAATTAATTATTTAATATTATCTTTCAAATTTTTTAAAACATTTTAAGTGGCCACCAAGTATGGCTCCCAAGCAAGCAACCCTTTGTGCCTACAACGTCTTTCTTTGCAACTGCTTCGCCTTGGCAACTTCCCCATCCCAATTCTACCCTCAATATTCCCACTCTTTACATTCATACCCTCATCTCCCCAATGACACCTTTCTTCTTCAATTTCACATTCTACGACACCGTTTTCTTCATTAACCGCTTCATCTTCTTCGGCTACCTCTTCTCGTCCTTCATCTTCATCGTCGAAAATCGGGATAGTAATATCTTCATCTTCACCGTCATGGTCATCAGAAATGGGGGTATTAGTGGTACTATCTTTAAAAAGACAAAGCCTAAGCCTTCCCTCGGTTCGTTCTGCATGCATGTATGTATGACAAGTAGGGGCACTAACGGCTTGAACGACGAGGCGGCCGCCTTCACGGTGAGATGTGACTTGAACACCATTTGAACCGCTAATGGACGTCAATGGAGGCGGAAAGCTGCTGCTTCGACTCGTTCTTCTAGTATTCAATGGAATATAACTCACGGTTGAGCCGCCAATGGACGTCAAAGGAGGTGGAAAGTTGCTTCTACGACTCATTCTTCTCGTTGCCGACTTTTCCCTCGGTTTCGATGTGTCAAAACCGTCGGTCTCTGAAAGAAGAAAGGGAATGCCGTTGCTGCGATCACTGACTTCACTTCCGGTCTCACTGCCTAAGCTTTCGGTGCACATATCAAGGCTTTTTCACTAAGGGTAAAAGCTGAACTCTTAACAAGAGGGTGCACGTAAACTTCGTTATGGTCGATTGAACTTTTGGAGCAGGCCAAGGATTGAAGAAAACTCCATCCACCAATATCAGTATTCTGATTAACTATCGGTTTACACTCATTGTCGTCGTTGTTGTCGTCAATATCGGTAATGCCGGCGCCTGGCTGGTTCGAGTTAAGGTTAATTGGTGATGGAGACATATTGAGCCTAAAAAAAGGTGCTTCAACGATCCTTGGCTCTAGGCACAGTTGCAAACCTTGACAGACACTTGAGAACATCTTTCTCCCCAAAACGTAAGGGGAAAACAAAGCAAAAACAGGGGAGCTTAAATCTGTAAAAGAGAACCCTTTTTCTTTTTGGAATTTTCCTGAGATAACGAAAGAGAAACCTTAGAATCAACAAGAAAAAAAGTTTGGTTTTGTGAGATAAAACTGTAAGGAAAAGAAAAGGATTGAATGTGAAGAGAAGTGAAAGTGTTGAAGGATGATTTATAGTTGGAGAAGTGTGAACAGTATAGGAGAGGACATAAACCTTTTAAAGCCCACTACAGTCTTTTTATGATACCACACGTTTGATACCATAGAAAAGGAAATGACCGAAATTCTGCAGTAAAACTGTTTCTAAATCATGGTAAAAATGTAATAATTTTGTATAACATTAGTATTTGATCTATTCATTTATTAATACAAATACAAATGTTATATAAAAATTTAATATAAAACAACTTTTTGAATTTAATTTTTTTCTTTTATGTTAAAAAACTCTACAACAGGTGATTAAAAGTTTTCGTGTGACATCTTTCCTTTCCCCTTGGTTATAGGTTCAATACCTATCATAAGCAAATTTTCTCTTCCTCTTCACCTAAATATAAATCTTTTTTTTTAAAAAAAAAAAACTCTTTTCATTAGTACGAACCAAATGAGCCCATTGATTAAGAAATTGTTGTTATTACTTGAGATTTTTGGTTTGAACACTTATTATCAGATGGTTGAAAGTTTTTAAACAAATATTATATAAAAGTCTACTTTTTACAAATAAAAAATTTGAACAACTAATCTTAACTTATTTAAAAAAAACAACATTTTATTTTATTATTAAAACCATTCCATAAACTCTTCTATAAATATATTTGTAAAACAATTGGATGGTAACAAAAGAACCAATGATCTTCTTAGTAAGTGTAATATGATTAAACGGGATTTTGTTGCGTAAAAAGAATCGACCATTGACTAGTACTAAAATCTTAGAAGCCCTAGGTTTTAATGTCTTCAAAGGCAAGAGGTCTCTCAAAATCTTTTGTTTCAACTATCAATCATGAAAAAGCTTATAAATTATACCTTAAATCTCACTTAATACTACAAGTATCATTACGTTCCTTAGAAAGAAAAAAGTTTAGTTTTTTATTTTTACGTCATTATAAAATATTATATATTCGAATGACTCTTAATCATTTGACAATAATTATTTAAATATATCTATAGACATAAGTCAAAATCTCTAAGAATAAGAATCAACTATGAAATCCTTTTTCCCATAATTTTTTTATCATAGAATTCTAGACTTCTTCCCTATTAGCTTAGGTTGATTTTAATATAAGCTATGGATAGTAGATTGACAAAGAATAAATGCCGATCGCACATACTCTTTGCCCTAACCATAGAATTTTGCTTTCAATCTTTTGTTTGTTAACGCGTGTTTGTTTTGTATAGGTTGGCCAACTAAAAGGAATAAAAAGAGACCTTGAACACCAAGGAAAGGGGGCTCTTTGCATGGTCATGTCATGCCCCCATAGCCATTGGCCATAAGTCAAATTTCAAAATAAATATTAATAATAATATACCATAATGAATTGAAGTCATGTTTGTGTATTTGTCTCTCCTATTCACTTTAAAATATGATTAAACCAAAGAAAGATGATGGAATCAAATTCTTGGGGTAATGGATAGTATATTGCTTTTCTTTATTTGACTGTTTCGGCACCCTTTTTGCTTCCATTCTTTTATTTTATTACTCAATGTCTTTTAATTAATATTTTGAATTCAATTATTGTGAATTAAAAAGAATAATTACGAAAAAAATAGTATCTGACATAAAAACTAAACTAAAATTAGAAAGCAAGCAAACATATTTGTGTATTAATTCAACAAAGGCGTTGACATTCATAGAACCTTCAATGGACGGTATAAAGAAATGATAAGGTGTCATAGTGAACCCCATTGAGCTCCACTCACTAAAAACTTATTAGTAGTGGCCAACCGACAAAGCAATTTTCCTAATATTTTAAATCTTTGATCAAATTCCAAGTCGAATCACCCAATGTGTAAATTTGCTAAAGAATCATAAATACGTTCATTTATATCTACAGCTGCTACACTTAGTTCTTTAAACACTTGTATTATTTGTATTATTCCTTCCAACATAAGTTCAATAACACCCATAATGTTGGCCAGTTTTTATTTATTTGATGAATTAAATCTCTCAAATGCAACTCTCTTGAACGATAATAAGTATTATTTAATTTTAGAGATTTTTTTTCGGTTTCAATACATTGCTAAAAATTCTTTAGACATGAACCTAGTACACTTAAATTCATTTAATTAACTTTAAAAGATATAACATATGATCTTATTTGCTAGTAATTAATCATGACAACTGAAGTGAAGAGAATCTCAATTTATATTTAAATCTTATTATTATCGATGATATTCTAATAAGACATAAATTCCTATGTATACAAACACCAATTACACGAAGTCTCCCAATTTTATCTACAAGCAGAGTACCTCACAAATCGATGGTGTAACCTAACTGACAAAACTCGGGTGACGATTAAGAATTAATATGTGCTCTCTCCTACGACCACGACACTTTGCAAGTGAACTTATGAAGCAATTCCGTAAATCCGGAATGATGTGTTGAATCAAACGGTCAGGAGGTCAGGTTAAATTCCATATGCATAGAAACAGCGACTTTCCGACAATCAAATACAGTTTCAGGAACTGCATACCATGGTTTGGTACTTATTCCTTCAAATTGCTCTAATATGAAGAGTAAGCAAGCTTCTCGTAATGTGGTGGCATTGAAGGCCTCAGCTAGTGCGTTCATCACCATAACATTGTCCACAGAAACAAATAAGCATGTAATTCTGTGATTCTTCTTTGGGCTTTCATAATCAGTAGTAGAAATATCACAGTAAAACATACACACCTGAGCAATGGTGTATTCGCATAGGCGCTTAAGGTCGTCGAGAATATACTGATCAGCAGCTCTAAGAAGTTCTTGAGCAAGATCAATTTCGACAGTCACTGATCCTGTGTATATATACCTGGCGGCGGACAAGTAAGAACTTTCCAACACATTTACTATATATCTTGTACGTTAAGGGGAATATTCAAATATCTACCTCATCATTAACACAAAAACATCCCATCTGATATTTGGAATCTCAACATCTTTGGCTTCCCTCTCCTGCAAATCAATTTTCATGTCGGTCATCCTTCTATGAATTACCTTCAGATCTACAGTATTTAAGCCTTGAATTATCTTACTCATCCGGTAATCACCATCGAACATAGCACGGAAGGAATCTGAAGAAGCAAGAAGACAAATTCTGTGAGCGTAGAATCTTTTACCTGAAAGAAGAATATGGAAATTGAAGGTAAAACATTTATAAACAACTTTGAACTTAATATGGAAGAGTCACTGATAAGAAAAGATACCTACCTTCAACCAAAAATGTAACATCAGAAAGTGTAGGATTATTTACGTACTGCTCACCCAAATACACCTGTGTTTATTGAGGTAAAAAATGGGGAAAAGAGAAATAACGGTTAGACTGTGACATAAAGGGAAATTTTTTAATGCATTGCTATTTACCTCTTAGTCAAACGTAAAAAGACAGCTAGATATCAATTGTATAAATAATTTGAACAAAACTGATCTTGACCAACTACAAATTTAGCCAGGTATTGAATTCAAAATTGGATTTAACAACTAAAACCAATCACGCTCTGGCAGTGATTAGTTCATGCGACCCACAAGGGACATGCGCATCCATAATATCTATATTCCTAAATGATTTTCAATGCAAATGCAATTATCTTCTCACCAAATACCAGCAGACATAAACAAACCTGTGGGGTTGGTGATAGTGGAGCAGCATCCACCGACGAGAGTGAAATACCCTTTGTGGCCAACTTGTACAGGGCCTCTGAACCATCTTGTACAGGCCCAGAAGCAGCTCCATTCCTGGGAGAATTTGCCAAGCATCCAGAGAGAACCAATTAAGAAATGCAACCCAAAAATAAAGGATATTATTGTGCAAGAAGAAAAGTGCTAACGACACTAGGAGTGGGAAACTGTCTTACCATTGTTGTCAACAAAAATAGGTTTCCGGTCATTTGGGGAACAAAGATGAGCAAGAGTCAGAGCAACTCGTTTCTTAACAGCATTGGCTGCTGTCCGCATAAGGTAAAATAAAAGATTCAATGTCTGTTAAAAGGAAGTGTCAAAGAATGATGTCAATGGTCTCATCACTATATAAATGCTACGAATTCCAAAAACTATTGGCTTAATCTAACTGCAAATGCAAAGTAGAAAAGGATCAAGAGCTAGCAAAAAATAAACTCACTCGTCCGTGTATTTTTTTCCTCCAACCTCTTCAATGTCTTTGTAACACAATCTTTAGTTTGCTGCAGTTTTACAAGGTATATTAATGAATAACAAACCGGGAAAATACATAAGCCTTTTAACTATATATTCTAAGGGTATTCAAAATGAATTAAACAAATTTTGCAACAGTAACAATCCTAAATATTACCTGAAAAATGAACTCTCCTTCCAGGAGAATCTGAACATACGCAGTCCTGACAAGATCTACAACATTGTCCTATAGAATGGACTAATTGTAAGCGTCACTAGACTCACAGTAAAAACTGGTGTACAAGTTCAAAATATTACGTGAAACAATGTCCTTTACCTCATTATCAGCAAGGCCACACAGGGAAAATGAAGAATTATGTTGCAATTGTCCATTTTTTGAGTCAGTAAGATCAAGTAATGGCACAATTGCACCATTTTGAACAATTCCAGCTTGATTGTGTGTGTCCTGCAAAATGAAAATCATTGATTCACAAAGAAAGTACAACTCCAAAAAAAAACTATTATGCATTGGGGAAAGAAATTAAAACAAGGACTTCAGTATAAAAACATATGATTAAACAGGTGAATTTCTTTAAGTCCTGCCATAGACATGATGCTTGCAATTGCTTCAAATACCATGTAGATAAACCATTTTAACCCTGAGGGGGCGTTTGGATGGGGCCCGAGAATCTCATTCTCGGTAATGTAAGATTACCAATAGTGAATTTTTTTAGGTATATTACCGAGAATGTCATTACCTCCCTTTCTTTAGGTATTGTTGGATTACCGATGTTTTGGACTAAAATACCCTTAATTTTTTTT